TTTGCCTGAGTTTTCCGACAGGCGGCGCTGTGTTGAATTTGCCTGAGTTTTCCGACAGGCGGCGCTGTGTTGAATTTGCCTGAGTTTTCCGACAGGCGGCCCTGTGTTGAATTTGCTTGACTTTTCCGACAGGCTCCCACCCCCACCCTGCTATCTGAGGCACGGAGGGTGGGGGGGCCCTCTGTCATCTCACGGCTTGACCCCTGGCCCCTTCCTCCCCCGACCTGAGCTCTTGACCAACACGCCGCGCGCATCCTCCTCAGACGCGGGAGCGTTTTTCGGGGCGTGGGGCCCACGGCACACGCCGTCCCGGGACCCACCTGCCTCCCCCTCCTCTCCCAGCCACACCCAGCGGGCAGCCTTCCCCGCGCACACACCAGGAGCGACTGCGTCCTTGCGGCCGCCGCGCAGAAGTCCCTTTATGGGCGTGTGTGCGCGCACGCCCCGTCCCTGCGCCCGGGCTCTGGGATTTCTTCCCAGGCCCCGGAGCTGCCAGAACGCGAGGGTTAACCGTGCACTCCTGACTGCTTCCTCAGGAAAATTACCGGGTCAGTTTTGTCCTGACGCTTTTCTGGTTTCAGTTTCGGCAGTTAGATCTCAATCCCCTGGGCAATGCCCAGGGTTTCGTGTGCCTGGGGGACGGGGGAGGGGGGGGGAGGGGGAGGATGTGCTGGGCACCCGCTGGTCCACGGTGAGGACCCAGGTGCCTGTGGAGGTGGGGCGGGGGGTGTTCCGGGTCCGGGTGCGCCCTTCCCCTGACCATCCCGGGGACCCCTCGGCCCCCCTCCCCGCCCCTGGCTTCTGTGGACGTTAGTCATCGTAATTACTAGGTCTGAGATGCAGACTCTGACTGTACATCTCTTCTCATCCTTTGAGCTCTGGACTGATGGTGGTCGCTTCTTTAGAGGTGGGGAAACTGAGGCTGTGGTGTGGAAGGACGGCCATGCAGGTTGCAAGCGGCTGGGACGGTGCGGGGCTGGGGCTCAGGCCGTGCGTCTGCGACAGAGGCCGAGGTCCTGGCCGGGACATGCTGCCCGGGTATCGGCTGCCCCGCTCCCGTACCCTCCTGCCCTCCCCGGGCTGGGCCACCTGACCGGCCCCGGACAGAGACGCACGCTGGAGCACGTTGCCCTGCGCGAGGAAGTGCACGCGACCGGCGTGATTTTCTGGGCCCTTCTCCCCTGTTCCGCCGACCTTGACGTCCCGTTGGCAGAGGGTGACGTTGTAAGGCGGTGGTGCCTCTGAGCGGCCACCGTGACCAGGGCCCCTTCCCGCCGGTGTGTGAGCGCGAGGTCCAGCGCTCACCCTGCACGTTGCGCCGTGCGTTCTGGCACACGTGGAGCACTGTCTGGACCGCGGCGGGGGGGGGGGGGGCGGTGGGCTGAGCCCCCGCGGGGGGGGGGGGGGGGGGGGGGGGGGGGGTGCGGCCCCCGGGCCCGGGGGGGGGGTGGCATTCGTGCAGCTTTACCGCTCAGCTGGGACTGGGTCTCAGGACTGGCTAACAGGTATGTTCTCTTCCACAGGTGGCCCTCCCCCGGGCGGCGGTGCCCCCTGGCACCTTCGAAACGTCCTCAGCGACTCAGTGGAGAGCTCGGACGATGAATTCTTTGATGCCAGAGGTGAGTGAACTCCATCTTCCCGCCACTGGCTGGGTGAACTTTCTAGAAGCCTCACGAAGGGGATCTTTGTGGGGTTAGCATCTCTCCCTCTTGGACGCTGTGCCCCGCACTTCACGTGTGCCCGATTCTGACTCCCCGAGGCAGGGGCACTGGTTGTGTCCTTGGTCCACCTCAGGGGCTGAGCTGTAGAGGCCTCTGGGCGTGGGTGCTGCCCTCCTGATGCTGGTGGTTTAGCGGGAGAGGCAAAACCCAGCAGTGACACGGAGGAAGTCACCCTCCCAAGGGGGTGATGCCCCTGCGTAAGTCAGCAGGTGTTAGCAGGGAGTGGACGCGGGTCCCTAACTTAGTGGGGTTGGTAGCGCCCTCTCCGTAGTCACGAGGGGAAGGAGCCTTCTGACGGAGGAGGCGGCCGGTGTGATGGCACTGAAGCAGGACGGTGGCCCTTCCAGGGACCCAGGGGCCCGTGCACCAGGGGTCAGGGGCCTGGCACGAGGGGCAGAGGAGAGGCTGGCTGCCTGCCTGAGACCCTGTGCCAGGCACATAGGATCAGTCGCAGAGGGGATGCGGGGCAGTGAGCAGGACTGTTGGCGACCTCCCGTGGGGACCAGGGGGGCACGTCCAGCAGGTGCGAGGGTGGCACATCCAGCGGGCACGAGGGGGACACGTCCTGGGGGCACGAGGGGACTGGCGGGCGGCGTGTCAGAAGGCGGGATGGGGGCACATCCAGCGGGCGCGAAGACGGCATGTCCAGCAGGCACGAGGGGGGCACGTCCAGGGGAGCGTGAGGGGGGCATGTCCAGAGGGCACAAGGGGGTCAGCGGGCAGCATATCCAGAGGGTGCAAGGGGGGCACCTCCAGCGTGTGCGAGGGGGGCACGTCCAGTGGGCACAAAGACGGCACGTCCAGGGGGCGTGAGGGGGGCATGTCCAGGCACGAAGATGGCATGTCCAGCAGGCACGAAGGGGGCATGTTCAGGGGGCGCGAGAGGGGCGCGTCCAGCAGGCACGAAGGGGGCATGTCCAGGGGGCGCGAGAGGGGTGCGTCCAGCGGGTAAGAGGGGGGCATGTCCTGCGAGTAAGGGGGGGGCGTCTCCAACAGGTACGAGGGAGGCCGGTGGGCGGCACGTCCCGCGGGCGTAAGGGGGCATTCCAGGGGGCACGGGGGGGGGGGGGTTGGTGGGTGGCCGGTCCAGTGGGTACAAGGGGGCCGGCGGACAGCAGGGGCGTGGTCAAGGGGACGAAGAACAGGAAGCAGGGAGTGGGGACGGGCGCGCCAAAGCGGGTGCGCGTTTCCGGCTCTGGGCGAGAGCGCGCACGCAGGGCAGGTGTGGGCGCCAGAGGGCAGCGGACAGAAGGTCCCCACGGTCACGCTCGCCTGGCTGCCTCCCCCACCCAGGGGCCCCGGTCCTCACCTGGCCGGCTTGGCCCCACCGGGGAAGTCACCGTATCTGGGGGGCTGACGCACTCCCGGGACAGCCAGCTGTAAAATGCCTAGCGAGATGGGGTCTCGAAGCAGGAACAGACCGTGTGCTGGAAAGACATCTGGGCCCGCAGCAGGACACCGGGGACGTGGCCTCATGGTCTCAGCCACGCCATTGCCCTTCTCTGGGCCCTAGTATCCGGGTCAGCTCTGTGCCTCCGAAAGTGGGGAGTGCCCAGTTCAGGCGCCTTTCAGGGAGGCACAGGGCACAGCTGGGCAGACCCCAAGCCAACCGACACTCGGCCCATGTGGGACCCGTGTGCTGTCTCCCAGGGGTGTCTGGCCAGAGCGGCTGCCGGGACTGCTTCTCCATAGCAACTAGCGCACAATATGACAGCAGTGACGTCGATATTTTGATGCTTAGAACGCTTTTATTTAAAATATTTTGCAGTTCCTCGGGGCCGGCTTCCCCGATGACGGGACGGCTGGCAGCAGGAGGCACTGGGGGCGGGCCTGCTCACCGGCTTGCCCCCTGAGCAGCTGTGGGCACGTCCTGCCCCCGCCCTGCACCCCACAGGCTGCGGAGGCCCCCTTCCTCCCGGTTGCCCTCCCCACCCCGTGTGCTCTGTGCTGTCCCCGAGACAAGGCCGTTGGAGTCTCCGTGGCTCAGGCAGTCAGAGGTGAAGCTGTCCTTCTCTGTCCCCTGGGCTGGGCGAGGCCCAACAGGCAGTCCGCAGCCCCCAGGTCCGGGCGGTGAGTGTCCCGGACTCGGGCAGGAGACCGTCTGGGTCCCTGACACCCTGGGCAGAATGCCGGCTCCGTGGGCCACGGCGGCAGGCCCAGGGCCTCGCGTGGCTGGTGAGCGCCGCGGGGTGGGTGTTGGGGTCCAGGTCCCCAGACCCAGGAGAGGTGCCTCCCTCCTGTCAGAGGATATCTGGGGGCCACAGCCCAGTCTGCCAGGGCTGGGGTGCAGAGCAAGGGAAGACTCAGGGGGGCCCAGAGGGGCCCGCAAGGTCTTGGAGTTCGGCACCACCACCACCGTCTCCGGGCTGGGAAACTGAGGCCGGAGCGTTGGGCGGCTTGCTCAGGGTCACCCAAGGTTACTCGAGGTCAGGCCGAGCAGGGGCTGGAATCCACTCACCTGTGAGTATCTCTGCTCCTCGGGGATGCTGCCTCTCACAGCGGGGGTGTGGCAGATGGGCGCTGTCCCCGTGCTTCCGTAGCCACCGGTCAGCGGTGGGGGTGGGAGACAGGTGAGCTGTAAGTAAGGCAAGGGAGCAGACTCCGGCAGACAGCGAAAAGCAGAAACTGGAGGGGAGAAGGGGAGAGGGGGCAGGGGGAGGGAGGGGGTGAAACTTGGGAGATGGTCAGGGGTGTGTCCGTTTGTCAGTACCTACCAAGTTGTATTTGCATTTGTTTTATTATTAGTTTTGATGTTTATTTGAGAGAGAGAGAGAGAGAGAGCGTGAGCTGGGGAGGAGCAGAGAGAGAGGGAGACACAGAATCCTTAGCAGGCTCCAGGCTCCGAGCTGTCAGCACAGAGCCCGACGCGGGGCCTGAACCCACAAACTGTGAGATCATGACCTGAGCTGAAGTCGGACGCTTAACCCACTAAACCACCCAGACGCCTGCCTCAAGTTGTACTTGTGAATACGAGTGGTTTGTTGATCACTGTTCTGCTCAGCGTCGCTGTTCAAAGTGAAGGATTTGCCCCCCTCTAGCATAAGGGAACACGGAGGGGTGAGTGAGTGAGCAGGAGGCACCCGCTGCTGAGGCCCAGGCCCCTTCCCTCCGCTTGTTCTCTCGGTCCCCTCTCCCAACATCTAGACAAGAGCCGGCTCGTTGCCGTGGACCCGCACAAGCGGCCTGGTCCCCGAGGTCGCAGCCGAGCCCAACCAGGGGCCCAGCGGAGCCCTCCCCAGGCGGGACGTTGGAGGTTTCCGCCTGCCGCCTCATCTCCCGTGTCCCCTGCTCTGCTGTCCCCATGCCCGGTGGACACCCTGCTCCCCTCCTGGTGCGAGGCCGGGCGGAGAGCTGCCCTCGGTCTTGTGGAGACCCGGCTGCGTGCCCCAGTCCCTGGTACCTCCCAGCGAAGGGAACAGGATAAAGCACTGATTTTACAGACCGTGACCGGTCTCCTGGAGAGCAGGGGGCACATCTCTGGGCTTTTCCTGTGGGCAGACAGCCTCCGCCTGGAAGGGAGGTAGCAGACACAGGTGCAGGCCGCCAGGGGCAGAGGTTGGGCCAGTGACTGGCCAACGTGTGGCCCCAGGTGAGTCTCTGGGGCCCGGGCCCCCTGGTGTTGCACACAGCCGGGGTGGGGCTGGTTGTCCCCGGGACGAGTGGGCTGTTGATGCTGTGGGCGCTGGGAGATGGAGCCATCCCGGGAGCAGAGCACAGGCGTGTTCCTGGGCCTGGCCCTGTCTCTCCGTTAGGGGTGGGAGCAGAGAAGCCGGTGTCTGGGGGTGGGCACCTTGGCCCCCGTAGACTTTACAGATTCACAGTACTCTCCTTCACCCTCATGATGGCCTGTTGGAAAGGGCTCCAGAGCCAGAGCTGTTACTCCCAAGGAAGAGATGAGAAGACAGGAAGAGTTGAGGGCACGTGCAAAGGCCCAGGCTCACGTGGGGCAGAGTTGAGACTGGAGTCCAGCCAGGAGCCTGCCCAGAACACCGCGCTGCCTAGAGGTGTAGACATGTGCCAGAATGGAGCACTTGCGGCTCGGGAAGCCATCTGGGCAGGTGCGGATCCCGGGCGGGGGGCTGGGCGGCCGATCCAGGACGTCCAGGGCAGGCCACCAGGATTGCAGGACTCTTGAAATAGTGTACCTGGGCTTCAGTCCCGGCTCTCGCCGGTGACCTTGGGCAAGGTACTGAGCTACTCCGTGTTTCAGATCTCTCGTCTATAAAATGCCGATGATAAGGGTTGTACCTTTTCAGTATCGTGATGAGAGTGGGGTGAGTTGGTATTCGTAAGGCATTATGACCATCCCAGTGCAGAGGAAACATTTCATCAGCGTTGTTAAATAAATCAAATAGGCGAGTCCATGAGGCCGGCCGAGGTGTCCCAGCCAGGAGTGGGGGAGAAAAGTGCTGAGCTCCAGAGCGGTCAGAACTCTGGACAGCTCCCCGTGCTCGCCATGTTGGTTCCATCTTTGGCAGTGAAATGGGTCCTGTCCCTTTATTCTCAGTTGTCACGAGCTTGAGGATTTTCGCCACCACCCTTTAGTACCTGCCCCATGAGAGAGGGCACGGCATCCTTTGCCAGGAAGGCCCGTCACTTTGCGAGCGGGGGCAGGGCACACCTGTGGGTTTGTTCTTGAGGGAACGCCCCGCCTTGGGACGAGGGACCGCACCAGGTGTGTGCAGCTGTCGTGTGGGACCCAGGGGCTTGTGTTCGGTGTGGTTTGGGAATATGGCCCAAATATGACTTCTTCAGAGTAATCGCTGAGCTCAGGTTGGGTAAGGGCACGGATAGAGACAGGGTTGGGGGGGGGGCGTGAGGAGGATGGGGGTATCATTAGGTTCATAAGGTTGAGATGAGAGTCAGTGGTTCTGTACAGCTCAAGGCTTGTTTGGAGCCAGAATCCTGCGCCCCGGTTACTGCAGACCTGCTTCTGCCCCATTCAGACCCCAGATACCTGTGGCAACCCACTCTCATGCAGAGGAGAAACCATAATGTCTTTATCTGTGGGCACCTCGTGTGCTCCGAGACCGTCATCCCCCTTAGCTCCCGTAATTCTCGTGGCAGCTCTTCGAGGTGGACCTTGCCAGTCCCGTTTTTCTGACGGGAAAACTGAGGCTCAGAGGAGTCAAGTCACTTACCCAAAGAAAAACTCCTGGCAAGTGGCAAGGTTTTTCTTTTCCTTCTTTTCAGGAAACACCACCCTTGTTGCCAGGAACGGAAACTTGTGTGGGTTTGCACCCTTTCCCAGCGCTGTCCCCTGGTTACTTTCTTCAGCCGCAGCTGGGGGGCCCCGTGGGGCACGGCAGCGATGCCTGCTTGCAGCGGAAGCTTCCTGAATGTGTTGTACTGTCCAGAGGACAGACACGTCCAGCAGTCGAGGTCTGCGTCAACGGCTAGGGTCACCTGAACACAGCCTGTCCGCTCACGCCCATCTCTGCTTCCCCCACAGAGGACATGGCCGAAGGGAAGAATTCCATCCTCATCGGGATGAGCCAGTGGAGTTCTAACGACCTGGCGGAGCAGATGGGGACCTTGGGGAGACTGGAGGGGCACCAGGGTGAGCCCCCGGGGTGTGTGTGAGCGGATGGGGTCCTTGGGGAGACCGGAGGGGCCCCAGGGTGAGGCCCCGGGGTGTGTGCACGCGTGTGCTGCGGGAGTGCTGGTGCGGACAGCTCAGGGCCAGAAGTCGGGTCTTCTGTAAAAAGTCTTCTGTCCCTCCAGACGCCTCCCCTCCCCCTACCTGTGCCCCCTGAGCTCTGTGACCTGCAGGGACCCTCGTGGGTGCTTGCACATGGCTGTCTGTGCAGAGCAGCTCCAAGATGCTCGGGCAGAACTTCCTGTGTCCCTAGGATGAGCACGGGGGGCATGGGTTATGAGGGGCAGGTGGCGGGGGCCAGGCTCCTTGGAGTGGGCTGGGGGTCCGCTGGTTAGTCTGGGAGCCTTTAAGAAGGCACCGGGCGGGGCGGTCGTGGGGATCGTAACTTCCTTGGGCTGAGTGCCTGGGAAAGGGGATTCATCCAGGAGACTTTTCGTGGAGGAGGGCTTGACCAGGAGCTTAATCAACAGAGCAGGCCTGGCCCTTCAGGCATCCCGCCCGTTTGGCCATTTTGCATCACTAACAGATTTTTTGTTGAGCACCTACTGTGTATGCGTGTTTGGTAGGAGGAGTGAAGGTGACGTGGCTGAGATCTCCGACCGTGACACGGTGACAGGGTATAATCAGGACGTAAGGGGGTGAGGTTTGGGCTGAGGGTTGCTGGGCCTGGGGTGGGAGGGAGGCGGGAGAGGGGAGCAGGGAAGGGTTCCTGGCAGTGAAGCTACGGGCCCAAGCTAGGAGACACAAGTGGAGGACGCAGCTTAGCTGAAGGTCAAAACGATAGAGGGGCTGCATTTGATTGAGGTCACTCGGGAACGAGACAGATCGAGAACCCACCTGGGTCCACGGTGCTCACGTCTGCACCTGTTATCCTGGGGCTGCTGTTTTCTGTCCCTCGTCCCACACAGCCCTCCACCCACCTCCCCTCCTCCTGGTGGCCTGGCCCCGTCATTCCTCAGTCATGGTCTGGGCCAGGCCGCCCTCTCCGGACGTGTGCTGCTCCAGCGGCCGTGTTGGTGCTGGTGCTTTGTCTGTAGCCACTTTCCTTGAGCCCCTTCCCCGCCCCCTTGGCTCGGTGCTGTCCCCGTGCCACGGTGCTGGACACGCCAGGGGTGGCTGTTCATTTCACAGACGCAGAACCCAAGGCCTGGGGAAGCGGTGTCTTGCCCAGGGCCCTCCAAGTTGGTGGCAGCATCGCGCTCACATCCCTCGTGTCCTGGTTCCCAGCTGGGCGGTGTCCGGGGCCTCTGCAAGGTGGTCAGGTTCAGGAAACCCAGAGGCTTCAAGGAAAGGCCCTCAGGCCACTGCTCGAGTCTGGTCCCCCGGGCCAGTTCAGAAGCGACTTCCCCTTTGACACAGCCGTGCATTTGTCTGGTCTGCTCTTTCCTTCGCCCCAAGCCCTGGAGGGGCCCAGAAGGGGTCACGGGTTCTCTGTAGCCGTGAAGACAAACCCAGATCTTAGTCATGACCCATCTGGCCATCCTCTCCCAGGCCGGCCCGCTGGCAGTCAGAGAGCGTGACTCAGCCCAGTGTGAGCCGGGGAGGGGTGAGGAAAGGCAGGGAGAGGGGCAGGCACAGGGAGGCAAGCGGAGAGAGAGGGACACAGGGCCCGAAGCTACACTCTGCGTGGTCTGGGCTTGAACGTGGCTTCACGGCTGGGCAGGTTCACGGTGGGCGGAGTGAGGCTTCTACACAAGTCGGGAGGACCGAGTGAGCCGGTGGTTGGCTAAGCGCTCTCAGCGACAGGTGGTTGTGGTGCGGGGACAGGTCCCATTCTGGCAAACAGCCATAGGCACTCACCTGCTCACCGGGGAGAGGTGCATTAAGGCAGTGCCTGCCCCCCCCCACCCCCCGGGGCGAGCAGGAGGGGGCAGGGCAGGCGAGGAAGAGGAAACCAGCCATGTCCCCATCCCCTGGGGATTCATGGTGTGATTCCTCCGCAGGACAGAGGAATCCTTCCACTCACCGACCGTTATCAGCCACGACAGGGGCTTCCCCAGGGCGGGGTGTGGGCACAGTGCTTGGAGGGGCTCACGGCCAAGGAAGAGCGGGGTCCCGGCCTCCGTGACTGTGACTGTACAGGAGGAGGCTGAGCTCAGGGCCTCAGGAGGGAGGCTCCGGGGGCACTTCAGGAGAAGGCTGCCTCCCACCGTCCGGGGGCGGTGCCTTTGTTGTTCCTCCAAAGGAGTGGGTTTGCTTTGAAGTCCCATCATGGACGGAGCAGACCTCAGGGACCCCTGCCCTACGGGGACTTCACTTTAGCGCCTCGCCTTCCACGGGCTGGGGCCATGCTGTCGGGGTGACGGTGTGGTTTCCAGCCACTGGTCCTGCAGCCTCCATCCGCCACGGAATCTTCCACGTTCCGTGGGCCCCTCTGCTTTCTCCCCTGGGTTGTATTCCCCTTGTTGGTTCTGGTACTTGTGTATTAACCCTTCTTCACCTTGAGCTCGGTTACAGGTTTGCATTTTGTTGGTGAATTTGGTCCAGCATATACACGTGTATAGATTTACATTTTGTGTAATTATGTAAGTATCTGTTGTACATGTGTGTGAATATACGGTGTATGTGCATGCGTGTGCATATAACATAAAACGTTTAGCGTGTGTACGTGTGATACATAATATGATGTATCAATGTCTGTATATGATATATAAAATATTCGTGGAAACATATTCAAACATATACATATTTATGTGTATATATACACATATATACACACAACTTATTTTTTCAAATTTTTTTTCAATGTTTGTTTATTTTGAGAGAGACAGAGCATGAACAGGGAAGGGGCAGAGAGAGAGAGAGAGAGAATGAGAATCCCAAGCAGGCCCTGTGTTGTCAGCGCAGAGCCCAGCGTGGGGGCTCGGTCCCACGAACCCTGAGATCATGACTGGAGCCGGAATCAAGAGTCAGATGCTCAACCGACTGAGCCGCCCAGGTGCCCCTCAAGTGTTTCTCTCTCTCTCTGATTCCCCTTCTAAAGTTTGCATTAGACGGATGCTGGACCCGTGTCTCACCTTGTCTGGCCCCGTTCTTATTTCTTGGTCCCTGCTGGGCTCTAGAGACTTTCCTTGGCTCTAACACGATCAGTAGCTCGCCAGACCAGATTCTCTTCTGCTGTTGCCATTTCTCTGGTCAGCTCTTCTGTGGAGTTTGTTTGGTTTTTTTTGTTGTTGTTGTTAAAGCAATCCTGTCTTCGTTTTCACGCGCTCTGTTGGTTTTTTTTGTTTGTTTGTTTGGTTGTTTTCCAGATACTGATACAACCTGTACTGTCCATGGGTGCCGTGGACTCATTCTGTGCTTTTCACAGCCTCCCTCCTCCCTGTGCTTTTTAAGTTCGGAGTCTCCTGGTGGGCTAGAAGTGGATGCAAACGGCCCCCACACACTTGAGTTTGGGCTAATTAGCCAAAGATCCCTAAGTGAGGTTATGGCACAGAACAGGAACTGGTGTGTTTCCAGTGATCTCAGGAAGCACAGAGCTGCCATTGACGTTGTCCAAGTAAAGCGGGTCTTGCCAAGTTTTGTTTTGTTTTTTTTTTTTTAATCGGGACATAATTCACATACCAGACAATCCACCCTCTTCAAGTGTATACTTCAGCAGTCTCTGTATATCTTGTAGATGCACAAAGTTGAGCAGCTACGTGGTTCCAGAACATTTTCTTCTCCCCGGAAAGACACCTCCTAACCTGTCAGCAGTCACCCACCGTTTACCTCTCCTCAAACACGGAATTGCGTAGAAATGGAACCCGACGGTATGTGGCCGTTGGTATTGAGGTCTGCCTTGGCATCACGTTTTTGAGGCTCAGACGTGCCGTGGCATGAACCAGAATTTCATTGCATTCCACGCTTGAGTAATAGGCCCCCGTATGGCTGTTGCACATACTGTCCATCCATCCGTCAGCTGGACCTTTGGGCTGTTTCCACTTTCTTGCTGTTATGAGTCACGGTGCTCTAAGTGTTTACGTACAGGTTTGGTTTTTTTTTAATGTGATTTATTGTCCAATGAGCTAACGTACAGTGTGCACAGGGTAGTCTTGGCTTCAGGAGCAGATTCCTGTGATTCATCGCTTACGGACAACACCCAGCGCTCGTCCCAACAAGTGCCCTCCTCGGTGCCCATCCCCCACTTCCCCTCCCCCCATCAACCCTCAGTTTGTTCTCTGTATTTAAGAGTCTCTTAGGGTTTGCCTCCCTCCCTGCCTGTCTGAAACTATCTTTCCCCCTTCCCTTCCCCCATGGTCTTCTGTTCAGTTTCTCAAGTTTCACTCATATGAGTGAAAACATTCGGAACCTTTCTCTGCCTGACTTATTTCACTTAGCGTAATGCCCTCCAGTTCCATCCACGTTGCTGCAAATGGCATGATTTCCTTCTTTCTTATTGCCAAGTAGTATTCTATTGTGTATATAAACCACATCTTCTTTATCCATTCATCAGTTGATAGACATTTAGGCTCTTTCCATAATTGGGCTATTGTTGAGAGCGCTGCTATGAACATTGGGGTACAAGTGCCCCTATGCATCAGCACTCCTGTATCCCTTGGGTAAATTCCTAGCAGTGCTATTGCTGGGTCTTAGGGTAGATCTATTTTTAATTTTCTGAGGAACCTCCACACTGTTTTCCAGAGCGGCTGCACCAGTTTGCATTCCCACCAACAGTGCAAGAGGGTTCCCGTTTCTCCACATCCTCTCCAGCATCTATAGTCTCCTGATTTGTTCATTTTGGCCACTCTGACTGGCGTGAGGTGATACCGGGGTGTGGTTTTGATTTGTATTTCCCTGATGAGGAGCGACGTTGAGCATCCTTTCGTGTGCCTGTTGGCCATCCGGATGTCTTCTTTGGAGAAGTGTCTATTCACATCTTCTGCCCATTTCTTCACCCGAAGAAGTATGTTTTTGGGGTGTTGAGTTTGATAAGTTCCTTATAGATTTTGGATGCTAACCCTTAACCTCCATGTCATTTG